CACACACACACACACACACACACACACACACACACACACACACACACACACATAACCACACAAATGTGGCCAACCTTGAATCTTCTACGGTATTGCCTATCTATACCTTCTCTTGTTTTATGGATGGCTTGTGATGATTTGTGGATGGAATGAGAGATAGAGATTGGAGTTTTTTGAAAAGAACACGTTGTATAGGGTGCAAGTATGCGGAAAGGCATTCGTCAATGTAGTTACCAGGTGCTCAACTGCACTCATGTAGCACCACTCAAATTTGCAGCACTGCAACAGCTGCTTGTGCTAAAACATCACAATCATTTCAAAACATCTACAGAGAGAACATGTTTCCATGACAACCACCAAGAGGTCGTGGTGATGATTGCTGGCAACAGCGGTGGACAAGGTGTTGCTGTGGTGAATTCGTTTGAAAAGTTAGGAGTCGTGGAATAGTGAACATGACAACACACACACAGACATGCACACACATCCACAAGAACCTGAGGGTATGTGCGCACATCTCTCTCTTCCACTGTTTTTCTAGTGTCTATTTTCTTCGCTCCCCCTTGTGCACACGTTCCATCCACTAGCTCTCAAACTTGCATCATTCATTGCTACACACGGTCATTCACATTCTTTCCTTTTTAGGTTTTCAGATTATTAATCCACAGTTCAAATTTCCGTGTCCAATGTGTCTGCTTGTTTCAGAGTGTGCGTCCAAATCTGTGTGTGTGTGCATGCATGCATGCATGTCCGGTGTGACTTTGTGTGTGTGTGTGTGTGTGTGGAGATGTGCGTGTACGTGCACGTCCTTGCACAGATATGGGGGGAAATGGTCTGCAAAAGCCTGCAAGGTTGTAAAATGCTTAAACCACACACTCTGCTGCCAGTGTAATCCACAGAGTGTGGCAGTTTATGTGCTGGCCATGGGAAGAGTTGACCTGCCAGCCGCAGGGGGAGAGGGGGGGGGGCGACAGCAGCGCGGGAATTTTTTAATTTTTTAAGTGCAGCAACTTTGGTTATTTTTCGTGCTCATGATGCTTAATGACAGGTCCTGAAAAACACCAGGGATGTAGAATGAGTGCTCATTCTCTTGGGTGAAAGCAATAGAAACATACATGCAAGCGGACACCGTGGAGAAAATTCCGCACGCTTGTCGCATGATCGGACCCGCACGGTGCGGTGCACTTGGAAAATATTCACTCAAGAAAAAAAAGGGGTCGCATGGCTGGGTCAATGGTCACCTGCGTCCCCTTTAAAGATGTGGGATGAAAAAAAAAAAAAAAAAAAACCCTAGTGGGACTGTGGGAGAGTGATGCCGCTACCTGAAGGGTCCTGCGCCCCTTTTAAAGGTTTGTTGTGGGATGGAAAAAACAAAAGAAGACTAGTGGGACTGTGGGAGGGTAATGCCGCTACCTAAAAGTCAACACTTATGTCCCAGAAACCTTTTTGAGGCTATTTCTCATGCGCAATTGGACGGAAAGAATTATATGTACGACTGCACTTGAAAAAGATCAGTTCCTTAGGTGTTGCACTCTTCTGTATCTACAAAAACAGCAAAATAAAAACAAAAACAAGGGAAACTGCTGCTGGTACAGCGCACGAGCAGGTGCCGCGCCGCACGGCGCATGGTGCCATTGCAAGTATGATTAGAAACATAAAGCAAAACCTAAAATGGGTAGGGGTCGGAGGCGAGTCTCTGCCGTCCGAACCGTACGTGACAGTTTCCCGTCATACAGCTCTCCATCAGCGTTCCGTCTATTGATAGCACCTAATATTGAGGAAACACCCGATAAATGAAGACTAAAGGTAGCTAAATCCACAGCTCCTCCAGAATGAATGGATATACCGCTTAAAGGTGGGTAGACCATCCACCCGGTACCAGCACGTACCTCCACTAAAGCAGATAGGTAAATACATATTTCAAATCCTTTTTTTTTATTGATATAGAAACTCTTGAAAATCAATCATCAAACACATAGATGGGCGTCCCACCGTGTTATGCATGATTGAGTCTGTTTACTTTGAAATCAAGCTCACTTGGTGCACGACAGACTTCGGCTCTCCAGGCTCAGGAAAATCAATAGGTTTGTTAAAATAATTCTGGGTGCAGTGTGCTGGTTTGGTCCATTGAAAGTGCACCCAGCACATGCTTTCAGATTGTGTGAACTTGTGCAGGGGTGATTTTTTTTTCGGGCAACTACATTGATGTCCCCTTTGAGTTTCTAATGCGCAACAAAAACACGCGCCCACAAAAGAACAGCTGCCAAGTCCAAAAATGCAATGAAAGTACCACGGCCCTGGTGTCAGGCCGGGTGTCATAACTACAGGGGTCAGCAGTGGTGTCAGACATGGGAAAGGAAAAAGGAAAAAAATAAATGGGAAAGGAAAAAGAAAAAAAAAAGAAGGGCCCAACGGATCCTTTTCTACCTAGGATACCAGCCGGGCCGCCCGGGTCACCCTATTTTCCCAGGCGGCCCGGCAGACCACAAAAGGTCCCAGCCAAAAAAAAAAAAAAAAAACGAAATCCAAAAAATCCGGAAAATCTGGCGACACATTTTACTAGCCCAGCAAATATTGGAGGAGGAGCAATGCACAGGTCAGGCTTTGGCCTTTGTATAGCCCAGCAAATATTGGAGGAGGAGCAATGCACAGGTCAGGCTTTGGCCTTTGTATCAATAGACCTTGAGAAGGCCTATGATCGGGTCAGATGGGAATTTCTACTGCAAGGTRTGGYGAGAAGGGGATTTGGACCTATCCTGTGCAGTTGGATTCGTAGTCTGTTAAACGGAGCCTCGACTGTGATGCAAGTTAATGGGGTAAGATCGGATAGGCTGCGCGTAACTCATTCGGTGAGACAGGGGTGTCTGCTTTCTCCCGCCCTCTATGTCATCTACATCGAGTCAATGCACGAGATACTGCGGGCCGACAGTCGCCTCGTCAGTCTTAAGGCGGGACCAAGAGCGGAACTGCAATCCACAGCCTTTGTGGACGATACGGGTGCAGCGATCGTTCCAACGGCTCAGCAGCTGGATATTCTTAAAGAAGACCTTGCAATCTTCTGCAGGTACTCAGGAGCACGGGTGAATTGGCAGAAATCTAGGGCCATTTGGCCTCTGGAGATGGACCCTCCAGAAGGGTGGGACATCCCCACAGTGGGCGAAGGAGAGCGAATGGCATTTTTAGGGGCCAATTTAACACCAAGCTATGGAGGAATCGAGCAGATGGCGATGCGAGCCACAGCGGCAGTAGCAAGACTGCAAGCATGGAGTGCGAGAGGGAGCATGGGGCCTTTTGGAAAGGCTATAGTGATCAAGAACTCGGTGCTGGCCACCCTGTGGTACGCGGGTGCAATACATATGCCAGGGAGGCGTACCTTCCGGTACATTAGAAGGGCGGTCCAAGCGCATCTGTGGTCAAACAACGCGAGGGGTGAGAACTCCATATGCAGAGTCGCCTGGAGTAAGCTTACCCAACCAAGAAGATTTGGAGGGCTGGGCCTGCTGGATCCACGCTTACAGATAATAGCATTGCAACTGTGCCAGCTCATCTGGGCTCTCTTGCGCTCCGAGGGGGCGACTTGGCAGGAGGTGACGCTGTCTCATCTCGCGTATGCTCTCCAGGTCCCTAGAGAACTAGTAGACCTATGCCTGCTCAGCAGCTCTGCGATGGGCCATATTCGTAGAGGGACTGTGTGGACTCAAAAACTGGCCTTGTGGAAGAAGATTCAGGTGAGGTGTCGGCTCCCGTAAACCGCGGATGCCATTTATAACCAGCTGCTCTTTGACAATCGCTTCATCTGTGACGAGGCAGGGGACCCCTACGCATGGCAGGGGCCACGAGGGGCCTATGGATGGAAATGGGCGGAGCAG